AGGTACCCCACTCTTAACCATGCATTCATCATTGAGTCTTGACACTCTTCTGAGGATAATAAGATCTTGATGACTTGAATATAACCCCTTGCACAGCTCTAGAACCTTTGGTAGCCCCTTTCTTGATGAATACACCTCTTGATCCCCTGCACAAATGATAATGCAATTCATATGCTAATGCTAAGATGAATGCAATAAAACATAAACTAGGCTAATAAAGGTTAGGCAAATTTTGGGGTGTAACACATAGTTGAGGATGCGAGCTTAAAACCTAGGCCCACCCTGCAAAAGAGTAAGGGCGGGGCAGGGAAACCCCACGGGCACTGCACCTTTTAAGCCTAAAAATATAAAATTTTATGTAAATGCTCGTGCCCGCAAAAGTTCGCGAAGAAAATGGGGCGGGGCGGGGCGAACACATTAGAGGGTGATGGCTTAAAACTTTGGCCCACCCCTCACTAAAGTGCGGGTAAAATGGGCATGCCCAACGGGCCTAACCCGTTTTTCCACCCCTATTCTTATTAATAAAAGTGTTATGTTTTATGTAGTTTATGCTATGTGTTGATGATTTTGTTATTTTTAATAAGAGTTGTTTGTTGTATCTCGTACGTTGTTTAAGGTTTATTTTGATGGATGTTGTTGTTAATATTTATTTAAAAGATGAGTTTATTATATTTTATGTGGTTTGAGTATTTATCCAATCCCTTACCGAATATATAAATTTTTGACTGCATCAGAAAATTATAGCGTGATAGATTAAGTTATATTAGAAAACAAGTACACGTTCAATTCTATACAAAAATTCTCCAGCCTGTTATCTACATTTCGTTCTTTAATAGTTAGAACTTTATTTAATGCTTGTAGTTCTTCAACTGCCTCTTTCTCCACCTTTAATTTTGTTTGCAAAGTAAATGATATTTTGCAAAATAAACTAGAGACGAAGGACGGGGTTGAAGAACTTGGAGTATAAACAATGTTCTAACCATTAAAGAGCAAAATGCAGATAAGAAGTTGAAGAACTCTTATCTAGCATTGAATGCAAACTTGTTCTTCTAATATAACTTAATTTGTCATATTATATTATTCTAGATCAGATTGAAAGGTTATATGTTTAGTGAGTATTGATAAAATAAGCATTTCACATAATTTATAATAAACTCAGTGTATATATCATAATGATTGTCTGTACCAACCGTTGTTAAATGTTATGCATTAAGAATATCACTACAGTTGTTTAATATAACCGTTGTGATAGGTATCACGCTACATAACTTATAATCACAGTCACCTCAACCGTGATGGAAAACATCGTACATACAATCACCTCTTACTTCACAATGGTTGGTCACACGTAATGTTATCCCTTTTCTAACTATTGTGAAATGACTTTTTCCTAGTAGTGAACAATGAGAATAAAAGTTCATAAAACAAAAAATAAAACTATTTTAATACATATGCAAATTGATTCAAGTTCAAGACATGTCTGAGACAATCTTACTATGGGTGATGAGTGATGCTTATATGAAAATTTTCAAAAATTTAAATGTAGTGAAACATGAAGTTGATACTTAATAAAAATCAACAATTTACTATTACCTCCATCCCACAATGAGCGATTGATTTGCAAAAAAAAAAAAAATTCTAAAAAAAATGACACATTTCAATTTACAATGTAAATTAATTCTTTTTTTTTTTACTTTCCAATTTTACCATTTAATCATTACTATTTTCATCACTCTAAATACTTAATAATTGATATTTTGATAAAAAAAAACATCTCTCTCTTTTATTATTAAATTTTTTAAAAATTTTGTGTGTGAAATGGTGAACTGAATCACTCATTGTAAACGAATGTAGTATAATATATTGCTTAATTTTTTTATGCTTAATTAGTTCTGAAGTCCCTTAAATTAATTCCACGTTTCACTTTAGTCCTTATTTGATAAACATTAAATTTTAGTCTCTTAAAAACTATTATGTTAGCCAAATTAATCATTTATATTAAATGTAAAGAAAAATAGTTAAGTTTGGATAATGTGGCATGACAACGTGACAAAAATTAAAATAATGAGTCAGCAATTTTGTTAAGGGACTAAATTGAAGCCTTATAATTAGCTAAGAAACCAAACTTAGACAATAACCAAATTGTGATTAAAGTGACCATAATAAAATTTCATAACATTTTATTAGACCATAATCTGTTATTTAACCTACCAAAATTTTATATCAACATAATCTTGAATTTAATGATATTAAATTAGAATTTTCTGTTCCATTCTTTGTTTCAAACCAAAATCATTAAACTAAAATGACATTAAACATGCTTCAAAATGACATAAGATATATACAAGGAAAACTATAAAAAGTGTACACAAGCACCACTATAAATTTGATCCCTTTTGAAGTCTTCTTTTCTTCTTTAAAATTGACTAAGGTAAAAAGAGTGCACATCTTCTTCCATATCAGAAACACATGAACACTGAATATAAAAATTTACAACAACATAACTAAAATGAAATAACTTCAGCCACATGATGTAATGTCTAAAATACATCATGCACACCTCTTTCGACAATAAATTATTTTAATTATTACAAAAACATTTTTAGATTTCTATAAAACCATCAAAAATAAAATAGATAGATTGCATCCAGCACACCTCCTTCAACTCATCAACTTTTTATTTTTCGTAAGCAATGCGAGAAATCTAACAATATTTACATATTTCTCTCAGTTTATTCTTGTTCCATTTTTCTTTTCTTCTAAAAAAGGAGTAACAAAAGGGTGTCGAACTCTTTCATTATCACTTCACAGCCCTGTTTCAAGATTTAAAAAATTATATATATATATATATATATATATATATATATATATATATATATATATATATATATATATATATATATATATATATATATATATATATATATATATATATATATATATATATATATATATATATATATATATATATCACATACCAACAAAAACATCAACAAAGATCCACAAATTACACAATATAAAAATATAATATATAAGTGTAACAATAGAGTAATCTTGCGTACAAAAGTTGTATGAATCCAAATATGCTAATAAATAGGTAAATATCCTATATAATGATAGAAATTGGTATCAATGGATAATATTGACGAACACTACAAAATGTTAGATTTTCATCCTCATGCTTTACCAGTCTCGCTCTTTACCTCTTTAGTGCTGCAAGATTATAAAAGCAAATTAATTTTAATTCAATCATTGTTGTGAATAAGATAGATAAAGATGAACAAATCAGTACCAGTTGAAACTGAATAGGTAGAAGAACTTGAATTTTGAGGCGGTTAAGAAATCCTTGACTTGCCATCACTAGCAGAAAATTTGTTCCAGATTTATAAGACCCTTTTGCTAGATTTGAAGAAAAATTCATAAAATCAAAAAATTTAAAATCCAAACATTATCTTTCATTTGAGCTTCTTACAAAATTTCAAATTTACAAGAAACTTGTTGTCGTCATGCAAAATTCTTGATTTTGGGAGTTTAAGGAAGAGAAAGAGAGAGGCAGAAAAGAAAGGGATGACTGCTAGAATTTAGACAAGAGAGAAAAAGATTGTTTTATAATAAGAATAAAATATAGATATATAATATTTAATAAATTAAAATAATTCTATGTCAACATAAACATAAGTAATATTACTTGAAATGCCACGTCGTCCAAGTTAATAGTTTTTAATAAAATTTAATAAAAATGACTAATATGAATAACATAATGTAATTTGAGAAATTTAAAAGAAATATTTATTAAATAAAAAATTAAAATAATATATAAAATTAAGTTAAGAGATCAAATAATACATTAAACTATTTTTTAATTAATTTTATCACAAAACAGTTATGCTAGGTTGACATTGAATTTCTACACCATAAGCCATTTATACTGTCTGTATGCTATAATTTAGCTTTGCACATATTTCAAAATAAAACAAAAAATTATTTAAAAAATGAAAAGCATGTATTTATGATACAAAACAAGGTGTAAGTTAAAATGAGTGTCAAAAATCATTTCTCATCACCAAATTATAATAATGGATCAAAAGTGTAATTTAAAATTATAAATTGAAAATAGGAAAATAAAAAGTATACATTCCCAACCAAACTATGTCCACAACCACAAATGATTAACCTATGAAAAAGAAAATGAAAAGGGTTATTATTGGTACTATTCCCACTCCCACTGTTACTAAATTCCAAGATCCACAACAGCCATTCATTCATTCATTCCTTCAATTTTCAACCATTATTATACCTATCTTTTTCTCAAAATATAAATCACCCTGAAACACCTTTTTGTTGCCTTTTTCTACTTCCCTATTGGTTGAATTTCAAATCCATCTCTTTCTTCTCTCTCCAACATTCTCTCTCTAGGGAGAGAAAAATAAAGTTTCTTTTTTTCCTAATTATTAATCCAGAAAAGTAAAAAGTATCAAATGCTCAATGGGTAGTGGCACTGCCACTGCACTTTCAACAACATTCAGAAAGGAAAAGGTACTACAACCGTCACCAATTATGCCTCACACTCAAAATTTCTAACTTAAAAACAAAAGGGTTCTCTTTTCTTTTTCTTTAGGTGAAAATTTGATTTGGGTTTTTTCTGTTTGAGATTTAGGACTTGTTTTGAGTTAAAGTTTGGATTTTTATTTGTTTTTAATAAAGGGGTTTTGTTTTTCTTTGCCGAATCTGTTTTTTACTGAGGGTTTGTGTGTTGTAGTTGAATTTAGCAAGATTTTATTTTTGGGTTTTTTGATTTAGGAAGTATGGTACAGTGTGTTGTTTTGTTTGTGGGTTTATGATCTAATTCCTTCTGGGTTTTCTTTCTCTTCAAGGAATTTGAATGGTTTTGATATAGAATGGATGCTCAGAATCTGTGAATTGGTGTACAATTTGTTGGAAAAATGAATTGAGGGTGACTTAGTTGAAGATTATTTTAGATACAAATTTGGAAAAAAGTGATGGCTGCAGAGTCGAATACTGGTTTTCACTATGGCGATATGAATTCTAGTTTGAACTGGCATGCAATATCATTTCAATCTGGTGCTGTTAGTAGCTTACCGGAGATGGTTCCAATGGGAAATTACTTTGGGTTGAATAATGATACCTCTGGGATGATGTATTCTGGGAATTCAAGTGTTACGAATAGGAATTTGAATTCGTCTGTTATAAGTCAACCAGGGAGTGCTTCTGGCTCTTCTCTTCTTGTTGATTCTGTCCCTGGATTGAAGCATGATGCAGGTTTCGCTGCTGAGTGGTCTGTTGATGAACAGTACAAATTGGAGGAAGGACTTCTCAAGTAAGTAGTTTATCTTTGGTTGCTATTTTTGTAAATTGTGATTAGTTTTAGCCTAAGAAGCACATACACGTAACACGACACTGGTAATAATTTGAGAAAGAGTCTTAAATGTCGGACACTGGATATGCCTTCAATGTGAAGTGTCGGTGTTGCATAGGTTTTGGCATCTTGGTGTCAAATAGTGCTATAGCTTAGAGGAAGTTTTAAGAAATTGCTATTGTTTTGTGATATGCAATTTTGTACAATGTGTTGTCAAATAGTAGCTATAGGCATAGCAGTGCTATAACACTGTAGGGTAGCAGATTTGAACAAATTGCCTTTTTTTGCGATCTGCATTTGACATCACTGATAAAATGATATTATTTTTCAGTAATTTTTCTTTATTGATAATAAAATAAAAAAGAAGAGATGTTTTGTTATTGTATTGGACCTGTTGTACTTGAAGCGAATGAGATTATGAGACGAGCCCCAAAGTTTGGAGGGTGTATCATAGAAAACTTGCCAAAGTAAGAAATGACGAGCTAGAAGCTAACAAGTGAGAAGGAGCATGAATGACGAGAAGGAGAGCGAGGTAGTAAGTTAGTTATATAAGGAATAAAGAGGAGAGGAGAGTGGGTGGAGGATAAGCGAGATTGTATCTTCACTAAAGGGACCACTTGGCTAGGATGATAATTAGTTATACTACCAGGTGACAGTACTTGAAAAGTACCTTATTCTGACCGGGGATGAATTGCTTGACAAATTATATGGAGCAAAGTTGTTTTTCCAAAATTGATCTTAAGTCCAGTTATCACCAAATTAGAATGCATAGTTCTGACAACTGCAAGACAACCTTCAGAACTCATAGCTGCCACTAGGAGTATTTGGTTATGCCATTTGGGCTAACCACGCACATGCAGCCTTCCAATTCATGCTGAACGAATTGTTCTAGCCTTACTTATGAAAGTTCATTCTTGTTTTCTTTGATGATATTTTAATATATGTAGTTCGAATTGGGAGGAACACCTCATCATTTGACTGTGACATTGGAAACCTTGGTGTCACACTCTTTTGTGGCAAACCAGCAGAAATGTAGTTTTGGAAAATTTAGGACATGTCATATCCAGAGGGGTAGCAGTGAATCATCCTTCAAAAATTCAGTTTGTGTCGGATTTGCCAACCTCAGACTGAAGGGAATGAGGTTTTTTTTGGGGTTAAATAGGTACTATTGAAAATTCATAAATAATTACGGGAAACTAGCTAAGCCTCTAACAGAAATCACAAAAAAGGATAACTTTAATTGGAGAAAAGAGGCAGCAGAGGGCTTTGACAATCTCAAAAGGGCAATGAATCAACCTCCGCTGTTGACTTTACCTAACTTCTCTGTTCCATTTGAAGTGGAACATGATGCCACAGGAGAAGGAATCGGGACTATACTGATGAAACAAATAGGCAGCCCATCTCCTGTTTTAGCAAGGCGTTGTCGGAATGGAGTTTCGCATAGTCTATGAGAAACATCCAACATTGACGGTATTATTTGTTGGATAGGCCCTTTGTGGTTTATACAGACCGCCATAGCCTGAAGCATTTATTATAGCAGTGGGTGTCTTCACTAGTCAGCAGTGTTGTCTGGCCAGGCTGTTGGGTATCACATACATACTGGGTCTGAAGAATACGGCTGCAGATGCTTTTTTTTTGTTTTGGATAGGCACTGCAGATGCTTTGTTAAGGTGCATAGATAACGTGAGCTCGAATTCGTAGTGTCCTATCCCCGTTGGTTGGATGGAGCAGGGTTAATAGTGGTGGCTAAATTGGACCCTGAGATTCAGCAAATCGTGACAGAATTAGAAAAGAACCCCTGTAAACATAATCATAATTCATAATCTTATTAGTCCTTAAACTCCAAACAGAATTTGTGAACATAGTCATTATTCATATCTCATTGCAGGTTTAGGGCCATGAAGACATTATTTTGCTTTTTTTTACGTTCATAATGATAGAAACCTGTAGTTATGTTCTTTACATCATTCCGGTGTCATTTGTTTCAAGGCTTTGCGCATCAATGACATGGTGTGAGACCATGCCTCCATGCTGCATTCCTAGTTCTCCTTTGATTTTATTGTACTTGTTTTTTATGAAACACGAACACCAGAAACACGACACCAACACTGAGACGTTGACATCAATCAATGTCCATATTTGTTTATAGAACCACATGTAGACCTATCTGTTTATTACATTATTTTCAATTTCCAAATAGGACATTAAACATTATTATATTCAACATCAAATTCTGCAAACCCTTCTTTTATTTTCCATTCTTTAGTTGACAATACGTGTTAGATACTTGGTTTGGGCCTAAGCCCAACAAATGTGAGAATGAGTTATATTTGCTGATGTGGCTAGTTGGTTAGAGGGGAATGATAGTTATATAAAGGATAGGGATATCAAGGGGGAAGGCATTGAGAATTATTCAGTTAGGAACTATAATGGTTTGGGCAGAGAGAGAATTGTCTCTTCTATGAGGAGCTTTGCTCTGGGATTGCAGGGGTTATCTTCTGTAATAGTTACCGTTTTTCTATTAGTAATACAATCTATTTTGTCTTGAATATTGGGTTCCTAACAATATGTTATCAATCCCGGATAGCAGACGAAAGTGGTTGACTCCAAAAACGCAAAAGATAGATAGCGGTTTTTTGAAATTCTTAAGTTTATTTTCATAGACATAAAAGCTCACCGATCAGCTGTGATTGGCCAGTGAGAGGGTGAAAAAGGACAGTAGGAGGGAGAAAGGAGAAGTCCAAATGTTGTTTAGATGTCTTTTATTAGCAAAATCCCTAAAACACTCCAAGCAGAAATCCTCTAAATTTTAAGGGATTTTTCTGAATTTTTGAAGTCATTCTGAAGTATGGTGCTATAGCAGCCGCAATATCCGCTATTTTGGACGCTAGTGCTACTATGGCCACCACACGAAACTGTTCTGCTACATCATGCTTGTAGCGGTCAGGGATATCTCCGTTACACCGCCATTACTCACTTTTGTCAAGACTTTTGACATTTGTATGGTTCAGATTGACTATGATAAGCTTTTTGTGCTGATACAGTCTTCATCTCTTTTAGTTTCCATTGCATAACCTTTGTTTTCTTTTGTTTTTCCCTTATTTCATGGCTAGATATGCTGACGAGCCGAGTATCACGAGGTATGTCAAAATTGCTGCTTCATTGCGTGATAAAACTGTTCGTGATGTTGCTTTGAGGTGTAGGTGGATGACTGTAAGCTCCTGTTCTCTTAACAATGTCCTCAATACTCATATTTTAAACACTGCTGATAAGTACATATGCTATGCATGTGCAACTATTATTTTATTATAAAGTCATCTGGAGCAACTATTAACTTACCTTCAAAAGTGAAAATATTAGGGCCCGTTTCTTTGATGAAATGTTTCCTGGTTTCATTTTTTATTTATTTTATGAGTAAAAATAATCTTCTACGCACCATCATATACTTAATTTTCATTTTTCAATCACATATGTTGGTGGTGAATAAGTGCAGTGTTTTGGAAACAACAAAACGACTTTTCAGTCATTTTCTTTAGTTCGTTCGTTTTTCATATGGATGTTCATTGTGAAGCTTGCATGAATAAGAAAGTAAGCTATGGTCAGTTTGGCCTCATTTTATTTAAAAGATGAAAAGAGAAAATGACTAAAGCAAACAGGACCTTGTGTTCTTTACAAACTTTTATCCTGAAAAAAATGTTATGTAAATAGCACCTCGGCACATGGAGATAGGAACTTAAAATATGTTTGAACCATTTTGCAGAGAAAGCGAAGGAAACCAGAAGACCACATGGTAAAGAAGGTCAACAATAGAAAGGTACATGAAATTTAGGAAGCTGGTGTGTGTTATGTTTTTTATAATTCTTACAGAAAAAAAAGTGGCCGTCAGTAAATCTTCATGATTGAACTATTGTAAAATTTAGTCCATGGCGGTCTTTTCTGGACCAGGCGTTGCCGAAAATAATGCATATAACCAAAGATACAAAAAAAAAACTGTTTTAACAATTCTATAATTTTGTTCTTACAGAAAATGCTTGTTAGGTCTTTGTATTTATGCAATAAAAGGGAAGAACATTGAGGAAAACCTTCTATTTCTAGGATGTTGGTGAATGCATATAAGGTTATGTTAATAACACAATATGCTAATGTCGCAAATCTTGAGTAGGATTTGTCTATTGATATAACATGGAATCAAATAATGCCATTAGGATCTAGTGTTGATTGAAAAACCTGCATTCTAAAATTGTGCTTCTTCAGGATAAGCCTTTGGAGTCATCACCAAAGCAATATTTGCAGCCAGTTCTAAGTCCAAATGTGGCGACATACTCTTGCTGTATAACACAACACGTGGACAGAAATCAACGGATAACCTATGATGATGGTTAGTATATTTGATTTCATTTTTTTTTCTTTTTTGCACAGCAACACCAATATCGCTACTCTTTGGCTAGACAACACCAGTATCACTGATTTTTAAAGTTTATATTCAGTTTTGTTGAGGATAAAACTTTACTAAAAAATCATCAACTACCGGGTTGAATCGGGAAACCCAAAAGTTCTTTTTAATGTGTAACATGGATTTAAATCTTGACTACTGGTCATAAAAGCCTAATGCAATACGTTCTCTATCCCTAAGATCCTATTAGAAAAACTAAATCTCATATAGAATAAAGAGAAGGCCTGACTAGAGTTTATAAATAGTGACACTTATAAGTCCGTTTTATAAATATGAGTTAGACCCAATATAAAAACATAATATGGTATCAGAGTCTATCGAGACGACACACTAGTTACTTTCACCCCCGAAGTCCAATAGTGTTGGATCTATAACCCACTAGTCTCAGGATCAGAACCTGACTCTGATACTAAGGTGAGGGCTGCCTAAGTTTATAAACACAACACATGCTATATCTCTAGTAATTGTGAGACTGAATCCACCCCTTCAAAACCAAATGCAATGAAGGCAAATCAAATGTTGGAATTAGGTGCAGACTTCATTGAAGGCAACTCAAATCCTGCTTTTAGGCGGCTAGGGGTCGACCGCAATGAAGGTGGAATTTTTGACAGATCATTTTTGTGCTATTTTACAGTTGGAAAAACTATTTATCTACAGTTTTCTTAGTTACCCAACCCTTATTTACACCACTCTAGCGTCCTAGATTTTGTTATGTCTTAGCATCACCATACCGGCGTCCTTATTTTGTCAATAACCCTTATCCTGTTTTTTCTGTCAGGAATTTGTGGTCCAATGAAACGACTCTTGGAACAAAATGCTCAAGCTTTTAGTCAAATCAATTCCAATCTATCTACTTTCAAGGTGATTATCTCAACCTTCATTTTATTTGTTTGTTTGTATGATATTTTTTGATCATATGAATTACTTTTTGAGCCTCTATGTATGTGATAATGATCATATTCTTTTATAAACAGTTGCAAGATAACATCGACCTCTTCAGTCAGACACGGCACAACATTAGTACCATTCTTGAAGAGTACGAGATTATTTTCAATATGTTCACTTTTTATATCATCAAAATCTACTTTTTGTTGTTGTTGTTGTTGTTGTTGTTGTTGTAGTATATATCTGGATTTGTATATCTATTGCCGTTTGAAGTTCATTGATTAAGTTTGTGCAGCATGAGAGCAACGCCTGGTATAATGAGCCAAATGCCTTCACTTCCCGTGTCGATCGACGAGGACTTGGCAAGTAGATATTTACCTAATAAAACTCAGGTAACATGTTGATTCAGTAAGCTTATTTTGCGTAATTCACTGTTCTTTTGTTGAAGTTATATAATCCTCTAGTTAACTGAAACTTGTTAAGACTTCCATATCAGATGAATCAAATGATATATGACCTGAAAACATGTTTCAGTTAGATGAAACATGTTTTCAGGTCACATCTCATCTTCAAGTCCTATTTGTGAGTTGAAGTTTGTAATATCAAATACGAAAGTTGATTAGTTCATGTATTTTACCAATTCAAGTTAGGAAATTTCTAACTCCATCAAGATTTCCTACTCAAAGTGGACTACCAGTATAGAGAGGTTGGCATTTTTTGTGTGGAAGTCAATTATTTTGGTGCTGCCATTGAGGAGTCACATCACATCATAACCAATATCACACTATGTCATGACTTTCCAGAGTTTCTAATTTATCTTAAATCTTACTCTTGTTCTATTTTGTTTGAAGGAACATTTGTACTTGTTTTGTATAAATATTTGCAAAAAAGAAAAAAAAGGATAGGAAAGGAACTAGTGTAACAATTGTATGTTCACTGGTTTTGGATTATTGGTTATTCTATCATGGCTTAGGAAGTGATGTAGATCTGTGATTCTAGTTTTTGCCATGGTTACTAGCTGTTTTGTAATATGTAAAGGGAAATCATTGTTTACGTTATTTCATGGTTTTATATGAGGAGATTAGTGTCATTTGCAGTTTGTGTTTAACTATAATTTTATTAACTGTTTGTGGAAACTAATGGTGCCTTCTGTCTTAAGGGGTCAGCCAACATGAGTTCAAATCTACATACAAAAGACTATTGTTTTGTAGTTTGAAAATGCATTCATGGGGCCGCATAGAGTTTCACATTTGGCATCTCATACTTAAGGGTAAGGATGGTAATAAACATGATTTGGATTGGATACTATAATATATGTTCCCCTATTTACGGTTTAAAAAAAATCTTCGTATTCAAACTTATATCCGTTTGAATATGAACATTTGTATTTGTATTTGTATATGTATCTTGTGCCTTTATTCTATGGATATCTATCTATCCATATTCATATACTAACATTTATAATAAAAAATCATTGATAAGTTATAATTTATCATGTTATTTTTAGTTTTTAACAATATTTTTAAAAAACTTTAGGAATGTTATTGTTGATTAAAAAATAAACAAACACTTATATATTAAAATGTCTACACATTTAATAATGATCTATTTAACTAAATTGATATGCATACAATGTCTATATAATAATTAAAAAAAGAAAGTATAATTATATATTTTTGTGGGTATGGAGTGGGATGAGTACTAAGATAGTCATGCCTATTTATTTTAGGAGCATTTTTTATTATGTGTTTTTTAAGCACCATGTAAAATTTTAATTTTACATGTCTCTAATTTTTGGAGATATATTTTCCGATGCATCATAATATATATATTTCATTCGTTTTTTTAAATCAAACTCCAATTTTATGAATATATTTATTTTGAAACTCCAAAAATATTTTCGAAAATATCTTTCTAAAAACAACCTTTTTCAACTTTATACTTGCTACTGCTATCACTAACTTGTCATAGAGAAAAAAAATATTAATAACTTTGTGGATAGACATTAATAATAATAATAGTAATATTATTTATGTCTATTAATTAGATTATTTGAGTGCGTTTGATTTCTTAAAAAATGAGGGATTGACCGGACAAAATTATTTGTCTAACGTTTGATTTAAAAAATAAATAAAGGACAACACTAATAAAAGAATGAGGGACAAAATAACTATTCCTTTTTTTGTTACCTAGTTAGACCATTTCTAACCGTGGTTCTTCAAATTGGTTTGCCAACTTGACATTGAAATTGTCAACAAAAAGTTGTTCCAGCTGGTGAATGTTTCTTGCATAAGCAATGGTTCTTCATTTTTTTTATTATTAAAATAATTATTTAACTTGTTGGTTTTATTTTTTTTTAAATTTTTTTATTTATTATAAATATAAGTTTGTTGCAAAAATTTATAACAATCCTATTTTCTCTCTTTTATTTACCCTTTAATTTTAAATTTCTCTCTTACAATTTCATCATTTTATTCATAAATTATTATTTTCAATTTTATGTTTAATTTTAATTTTATGTTTAGTTTATATTTATAGTAATTAAAATTTAAATATTTAAATTATAATTTTAAATAAAATAAATTTAATATAAATAATATATTTAAGTAAAGTAGTGGGATCCAATATGGGTTCTTTGAAGTTGCACCATTAGAGTGAAAATTGAATAAATTATTTTAGAAGAGTGAGTCCCACAAAAAATCTAAAAATAGGTTGCACCATTGGAAGTGCTCTTAAGTATTGGACAAAAATTGTCCCACGTACAATTAAATAAAAAATATCATACTATCCTTTAATTTCTCACAATAAAATATTGTTTCTCTTAAAATCTAGTGGTACTATTTTCTCTCCTCGCAAATTGCAAAGCTTAGCCGTCATTATTGTTCAGATATCTATCTCTTTAATTCATTGCCCCTTTCTATGTATTAGTTTTAAACCATCGTTATTGCTCAAATATTCATATCTATCTCTTTAATTCATTGCCTTCTATTTCTTTTGATGTGCTGTATTACTTTTTCTTATACGTGTATGTTTGGATAATTAAATAAGCACTCATAGTAATTATAATAAATTCACTTTAAATAAGCACTCATAGTAATTATAATAAATTCACTTTATAAACTTTTCTGCCTTTCTAAATTTTTTTTATCTTCATATTGGCTTCATTCATATTCTTATAATAAACAATTTTTTCTTCATATTTTCATATAACATTTTCATATCATATTTTCATAGAACATCTCCATTCATTCATATTCTAATTTTTTGTGTCCTTTTTCATATTCATGTTTTTAATTTAGAATGAGTGTTTTTAATTTAATTAGTTTTTTATGATGTTTTTAATTTAGAATGAATGTTTTTAATATAATTGACTTTTTATGATATTTTTATTTTTTTGTTAATTTTTAAATTGTTTTTCATATGTAGTTGAAATGGATGACAAACAAAATTTTCATTATCTTCTTATTTAGAGGATGTATATTCAGATTCTGGCCATGCACGTTGTTGGTTATTTTTTCTTGAATTTTGTTTTAAGTGATAATTATGAGAGAAAATCTTTGAATGAAAGAGCTTTAGCTAGGTATGAGTCACATAGAGATGTTTTGGAATCTATTACTAGTACAAGTGATTTTCATTGCATATGGGAATTAAGAATGTGTAGAAACACATTTGCACATCTTTATGAAGTTTTAAGGGTACGAGGAGGATTAATGCAACTCGGACAAGTAAGCGTTGAAGAACAAGTTGCGGTTTTTTTTAAATATACTTGCACATCATGCAAAAAATAGAAGTATTCAAGTTAGATTGTCTAGATCAGGACAACCAGTTAGTAGATATTGTCATAGAGTGTTGACCGTGGTTTTGAGATTACGAAATGATTTCCTTGTCAAACCAGAACCTGTACCTCAAGATTGCTCTGATGAAAGATGGAAATGGTTTAAGGTAATGAATTTTTACCTAGTTACCTCAATATATTATTCTAGTTAAGCAACCTAATTTGAACCATTTATTGAAACTTTAGAGAAGCTTAGGAGCTTTAGATGGGACTTACATAGCAGTCACTCCGAGTGTTTCTGACAGACCTAGATATCGTACGAGAAAAGGTGGACTTGCAACAAATGTCTTAGGTGTTTGTACAAGGGATATGAGATTTATATATGTATTAGCAGGATGGAAAGGATCAACTTCAGACTTTAGGGTATTACGTGATGCAATAAATATACAAAATGGATTGATGGTTCCAATCGGTATGCCAACTTCTTTTTTCTTTAGTTTGTTTGAACATGATTACAAATAATGAGCTATTGTTAATATTTTAGGTTCGTATTATCTTATTGACGGTAGATACACTAACGATGAATGATTTCTTACCCCGTATAAAGGTAAACGATACCATTTACAAGAGTGAGGCACTGACCGTCGTTCACCTCAAAACCGTGAAGAGTTATTTAATTATAGGCATGCTCGGGCCAAAAATGTGATTGAGAGATGCTTTGGCCTCTTGAAAAAACGATGGGCTATATTGAGAAGCCCATCATTTTGTCCTATTAGAACACAATGTCAAATGATCCTTGCTTGTTGTTTATTGCATAACTTCATTCGTGTGAACATGACAATGGATCTAGAAGAATTTTCTCCATTTGCAGAAATAAGGTACCTTTAGGAGAAGAAACAATAAATATAGTGGAAAATATTGAACCTAGCAATCAATGAACTCAAAGGAGGGATGTGCACGCACAAGAAATGTTTACAAAATGGAATAATTTTTTCCCGAATTCATTTATGTTTAGAATGAAGTTGAATTTATTAGTGTGTGATTGTCAATTTTTTTTTTTTTGAATTTTTTATGAGATTTATGAGATTTATTTTATGTTGTTGCACTTTTGAATTATATTGGGTATTACAACATGTTTTTTTTGAATTTTTTGGTATTTAGAATTGAAAAATGAAGATGGCATTACAATGAATAACATTAGAGTCCGATGTAATTGGAGTACACCTGAAGAAGAAACTTTACTCGCTATATTAAAAGAGATGGTGGTGGCTGGAAACAAAGGAGAGAATGGAACATTCAAGACTGGAACTCATGAAGAAGTTTGTAAGAGAATGAAAAATAAGATTCCAGATCATTCAAAGCCAGATCCTTCAAAATCTGACTTGGTTGAAGAGGTTAAGAAATTAGAATTAACTGATGAAGAGGAAATTGATTTGGTGATTAAATTTTCTCATAACCAACAATATGAAAAGTTCTTTTGGGAGTTTGAAGGTTTCTAAAAAATGTCTTTTGTGAGGAAGATTATGAGAATGTGATAAAAGTTAAAAATTTAATAATGTCATTTTGTTAAATTATTTGTTAAGTTTCATTTATGATTTATGTTTTAATTAAGATTTCTCTTGAATTCTATCAACATTATGCTTGATTAATATATTTATTTAGTCTATATTTTGAATGTTAATTTTATGTATTTTTTTTGTATGATTTACTTTTAATTTATGATATATTTTTTAATGATTTGATTTTAATATGTATTGCGTCTTTACATAGTGAAAAATCAAATGTTAAATATTACAAAGGATATTAGAGTAAATTTTGTATGATTTTGTCCAGTGCATTAACATATCAAATAAGGAACAATACAAAATTGTTTGTCCTGTACATCAGATATCAAACAACGGATGATACAAAAAGTTGTCCTGTAACTGAGTCATATGTCCAGTACTGTTTTGTCCAACTCAGTAACCCTGGGTTGGAGTTGGTCATTCTCTCCCACGG